GTACTAACCATTGATTAGCGTTTAAATGATTGGTTTTAATAATGTTTGTGTTTTGTATTGAAGGGTACTTTCCGTGTACTTTCGATGCGAAACAATGCGATGCTGTGATGGATACCAAAGAGCACTTCGAGTTTCATATGAAAGGCCATTACGACGCGAAGGTCTCACCACTACTTCCCATATTGTGATCGCATTTATACTAATGTCTGTTATTTGTTTTGTGTGACAGTATGTGTGTCCGTATTGTGCATATACGGGACAAACCATTCAAATAATCAAACGACACATCAATACTGAACGCGAGGCCGCGAAGAAGGCCGAGGATGAGAAGAAAGGGCTAACCGAAGACCAGAGCGCACACAAAGACCAGAAGATCTATAAGTGTTTCGGTTGTAAAGTGTGTAATAAAATACACGACAAACTGGAGAAGCGCTGCGAACACATCGACGAAGACTCGGACAATGAGTGCGATTTCGCTCACGATATCGACTATCAATTTAAGGATCACCTGAAGAAGCACTTCAATGAGCTGTTTATCGCAATCAAAGACAAGGACAAGAGGAGGGATAAGATCCGACCGATTGTCGACAAGTTCTGCGAAGAGTTGTACTTCGAGAACAGCGCGAAGAAGAAGGTATTAATTGAAAAGTTTCACAAATCGAAGGACGGGAACGAAGGGGGAGACAAACGGCCGGTTGTGATGGAATCGGACGACGATTGGGACGATTAGCGGTCATTCACTCACAATCTCTTGATTTACATTTTTATTTGGCATTTATTTTGAATAAAATTTTATCATGAATTTTGAACCAATTTTAAACAAAGCATTTATTAATTTTTTTACTTTAATTATTACATAATGTCTTTAAATTTTTGTACTTTTAATTTTTGATTATTTGCTTAAAATTCATAAAATTATTATTTTTATTCATAAATCATTTCTTTAAATATATTAAATATTTTACACACAATGTATGGATAAAAACATGATTATTGTCTAAAATACATAAAATAGCAATAGATTTGGCCGTAAAATGAATTTAAAATATTTGTTTTCATTTCAATTGAATTGCAAAAGTGTTTCTTTGGCTCTAAATCTAACCAACGATTCAATACAACAGCCGTTTCATTGAATCAGTGAATGATATTTTGCTGTTTAGTTAATAAATAAGACGAGAAAATCAAACAAAGTATTGACGATTAGACTAATTAATGAATCAAAACAAGAGCTGATAATAAAGACAATAAAAGTATAACGAGTGGATAATGAGGTGGATTGTGATGAGCGCTGGATTCGGCGGTAATTCTGTCGAAGACAGCGACCGACGCGTGTCTGTGTTCGTTGATTGGATACAAATAGAGGTTAAGTTTAGTGACTTTATCGCCGACAACAGTGAATTGGCGCCGAATCGTGACAAACCCTTTGGCCACCACTTCGATCACGTAATCGCCCGGCAATAATAGGCGCCAGTATTCGCCTCTATTGGTCGACCGGAATACCACATCGCGGCCGACGATCCGTATCTCCGCGTTGGCGACCGGCGTCTCGTTGTGGTCGCGGACCAGCCCTTTGACGCCGCGGTGAACCTGCGCTAAGTATGACAGCAACGACTGCTTGTTGTCGTTCCAGAAGGACGATAGCGTCGATTTCGACGGGTATTTACAACACGACACCTCCAGAGTTATCTCCATTACTCCGCCGTAGATGTAGTTGTAGTCTTGCATTCCTCCTGAGTGTGACATTCAATGAATTAGTCAAATGCGAAACATTATGCGAAACAAGTGGTGCCAACCTTTGACGGGATACCATTGGGCGCCGTTGACAATGCCGTTCTCGAAGGCGTCGGTGCGCTCTTTACACTGAACCGCATTCTTCATATTCGGGTGTTTCTTGACATAAGTGAGCGCCAAATGCTTGAACACGTCGTTGTCCGGAGAGACCGACTTCTTCCTTAAGCCGAACTTATTGTTATCGTAGGGATAATTGGCGACAACTGTTCCGCCGTGAAAGTTGGCCGACAGTACGAACGGCAGGCTATGTATCCATTTCCTGACGGCCGCCGTTTCGGGCTGTTCTGCGCGGGTGTTGTCCTGAAAAAAGTCCGGAAAGTTGCGGTTCAGGTCCCGATTCGCCGCATTGTTCCTGTGTTTTCAGTTCAACAAAAATATTCGTAAATTTTATGCACAATTTATGCAATATTTTAAAATTCAATCCACTTTTTTGTGTGCATTTGAATAATTCATGTTTTGCTTTTCAATTGAATTCAGTGTTAATAAAACATTTTCGCTTTAAATGTTATCCCATTTTTGTGTGTTTTTATTTAGAATAAATTTATGCGAAATTCAATACTTTGTTATCGAAAAAATCCTTCATATGATAGTTAAATAAACTTTTATTCTCATATTCTCTATAATTTGCATCATTTTGAAAAAGTGGTGAAAACAAGATAATAGCCATCCGCTCACAATTGGACATTCAGCTCTCTCTCTCACTCTCTCTCTCTCTCTCTCTCTCATCGCTTATCTCATCAATAATAGCAAAAATAAAGTGATAAAAAATCTATTGGAAACGACAAGAATCCATATCATGCCGTCTATGAATCCGGACGGCTTTGAAATGAGCCTCGAAGGCAAGTGT